ACGTACTTTTCCGTTTTTCGTATTGCCCTCAAAAGCAGGTAATCATGTTCATGTGTATAATGTCTTAAACTACCACGGATGAAATACTCTTAAGATATGCATCAGACACTTGATTAAACACAATTAAGATCCAATTATTCACTTCAAAAGCAAATTTTTGAGGTTTTAAAGATAGTACTTCAAAATAGCTAACCGCTCAGAGGATAAAAGCTAAAGGTTTCAATTTGTTTAATTATTTGTAATGGATAAAAATATTTAGATTTTTGTGTACAGATAGATTTAGAGTTTTAATGATACTTTAAGATAGTAAATTCATGACAAGGCAAGAAGAAGTACAATTGTCGAGTTATGAAATTGAAAAATAAGAGTTCCAAGTGGAGTAGCACTAAGTAAATTTGGTGAACCGAAGAATTTTCGGTGCCTTTTCCATTCATATTTTTCGACTGATGTAAATAAAGATTGTTAACTAGAATATTTTGACCGAAATATTTCAATAGCGTTTGCTGAATAATTATTTTAAATTTATTTTCTCTTTATAATTAATCAATTATATATTTTCTTTTTTATTTTGAAGTTGTGGGTCCAGAACATTTTTTTTATTATTTAAAATGGTTTATGAAAGTTTCTCCCGGACCAAAAAGGGTCGAAAGGGAGAAAAGTGTAAGAAACTCTGCATATTACTTAAACAATCGAATACGGAAGAGTTCAGAAGTTGCATACAGGTGGTTCTAAAATTAGGGGGAAAACTTTAAGGGTAGGTCGGCCATACATAAACCAGTCATTTTTACAATAGAACATGGTGTAGCAACCCAAAGGGTGACCTGGAAAGGGCTCTTATAGAGAATTAAGTAAAAAAAAATGGGTACATCAGACAAAGTATGTAACACAGGGGTAATGGAATACACATTTACAAAAGTATAACTATACAGCTGCATGAATATCAATATGCGAATCATGTTTAGCTTCGGACAGAAAGTCCTTTGAACATTTTCTTTAAGTATGGTTTGTTGTTGATACTGCGTCAAACTTTCCAATGTATCATCTCTCATGCTGTATACGACATGTAATGGTGTTATATATGTAACTGTGTACTGCTACTGTGAATTTTATAATTGCTAATGAATTTGTATTTCTTTAAACCTGTATTACACATCTTGTATAGTGTATCCGTTTCTTTTTCTTGATTCACTGGCAAAACGCCACCGTAGAGATTACCTTTTGTGTTTGGACCCTATGCTCTATTGTAAAGAAAGGGGTTTGCTCGTTTCAGTGAACTATAAGCCAGCTGAATATCAACATGCGAAGCATGGTTAGTACCTTTTCTTAACATTCTTCTTTAAGTAAAGGTTTGTTGTTGATATTGAACTCCAATTTCTTCCAATTTATCATCTCATGCTGTATAATCGACTTGTAGGTAAAAGTTATATATGTAACTATGAATTTTTATCATTGAAATGAATTTGTATTTCATTTAATTTTGTATTGTACATTCTTGTATAGTGTATCCGTTTCTTTTTTTGTTCACTGGGAAAACGCCACCCGCTTGTGATTAATTTTTGTTTTAGACATCCTATCCCTCTATTGTAAAGAAAGGGGTTTTGTTTCTGTTTTGCCAGACCAACTCAATTAGCCTACCTTGTCGACAGTTGAAAAGGCACAATGCAGTTAAGAGAAATTTATACTGTTTATGCTTGGTTGCACCTCAGTGTGAAAAGTATGGAAGTCTAAAAAACAAATGCTACCATTGTTATAGAAAAGTGGATACAATTAGACGATATGCAAATTCATTTGATATCCGATTTATAAATTCTTCTGTGTTTTTATCATTGTACACATCACAATTTTTTAATCAATAATCGTGCTTAGGGACAAATAAGTAATCATATTAGTCACATTATTAATTTGTAATAAAATAAGCTATATCTAAAAAAAAACGTTTGAAGTAGTAGTTCGAGGAAAAGGAAGGGGGGGGGGCTTAAATCACCTTATATTTTTGTAATTATTCGATGATTATCGCAATAAAAACAAAATTACCTTCATAATTATTCCATTTGTTTTTGTCTAAGAGAATATAAAACATACTTAATCTCTCAAAAAAGATGGTATAAACTGTACAGAATCGTATTCTCTCCTTTCCTATTTTTTATACCTCCTGTATTCTCCTGTAAAGAGAGATAAGAAGCTTTGACCTTTTTTCAAATTCATATTATATTTAGCATTTGAGCAGTCATTTACTAAAATTTTGAGCGAGGAAGTTTTTAATAATATATTTCAGTTTTTTCCCTGAAAAGAATGGAGCATTAAAAAATGCATGAAGCCGGTTTCATCAACAGCCATCATTAAAGAAAAGCTGTATTTGCAGAACGAGGCAAAGGGGAAAAAACTCAAACAGAGAGAAACCGTTAAAAAAACTAATTAAAGCCCATCTCTTTTTTTTCTCGACCCCCCCACCCTAGCAGGAAATTTTTTTAATGACTGCTTGAATGAGAATTTAGAATTATGAATTTTTCCATCTCTCCTCTAAGAAAAAAAATTAAGAAATAATAACTCTTGAGCATCGACGTTGGTGAGAGGGGGAGGAAAAAATCATGGTGGGGGTGGGGAAGAACAAGGAATAAAAAAATATGAAAAAGAATGTTTTCATGCTTTATGATTTTTCTCATTACTCCATTGTTCTAGCTGCCGCAAAATCTCCAAGGACTGAGGATTATGGGAGCGAGTAGCGGTTTCTGACATGCGATATAGACTTTTGTTTTTAATACCACTTCTTTTTGTGTTCTTTTATTTTTTCTGTTATACCTTCTATATCTGCAGTGGTATTATATTTTGAGACGGGCGTTTTTATTCCAGCCGAATGGACTAGGGATTAAAGATAAGTCTCCAACTGCTTTGTCTCTCTCGTACCCAAGGGGGCAATTATTTATTGTACTTTGCGTGTTCTTTAGCGCCAGCACCAGCACCAGCCTCTCCTTTCTACAAATCGGCTAAAGTGCTTTGCTCTTTGAGCCTGTAAGGTTTTTTTATCTATCAGACGCACCCTTTAGTATATACCCTGTCTTAACTTCTTTAATTTAAAGAAAAGCATTAATGTTTTCTTTACAGTTAAAAAAATGGGCTAGCAAAAGATATGGCAGAAAAAAATAAGGAAAGGGGGAGGGGTCTTACGCTTAGTGCGTTGTATCGATGTTATTAAGTTTTCCGGCTTCGACTTTTAGAGGTTAATAAAAACATTTTGGGGATGGAAAAGATTTCACTTAGGGTTGTCTGGCTCAAGGGACCGGCGCATAGTTTATTTATGCTAGCCAGTAAGTAGCTTTACAAAAAGCGGCTTAAGACTACCTAGTTTTAAATGATTTACCGCATAAAAAATTGTTGTCTGATTGTGTTTTGAATATGCGGATTTTACGGATTAAAGTAATGTTTTTGATTGATTTTATTTTTGCTAAATCAAGATGTAAAAGGGAAGGATTAAAAATATCCTGCTCGTCTAATGGGATAATATCAACGGAAGAAGAAGGTAGACGGCGGGAGATTTTTTGCAATGTTTATTTTAACTTGCAGATTAAAATCTATTAGTTTATCTGAAAGTTAAACATCTTTAAGTGTTATCAGTTTGTCGTAGGTTTAATCCAAAGTTTTTACAAAGTGTTTTACAAGGAAGTCTCTTACGTGATGGAACTGCAAGAAGTCTATTAACAGATTAAGTGTTAAATAGAGAGCTATTATTTTTTCTTCCTACTGAGAAGCAGCAACAAAATATTTAGTTCTTTGTTCTTTCTCTTCCCCTACCCATTTTGTTTGAAAAGGAATTACTTTCTTTTATTATTTTTATATTTATTTGTCTTAATATCTTATTTACAGAGAAAATCCACCACAAACACCTTCAAGCAGATACGACTTTGATGAAAATTAAACTTGATTCAAGGATTTTTTTGGAGATAAGCCTTTTTGAAAAGATTTTCTCAGCCGTATAAAAGAGAGATAAAAACAGATTTTCAGAAGTATTTATAATGGAAGAAATTTTGTTTCTTATTGCATACGTGTGGAGTTTTAGATTTTAGAATTGATTCGAAATATTTTCATTTAGTGATTTAGCCTTCATCAAACGCAGTTAATTTCTATTTGTGAAGATAAATGAAGTCCTTGGTATGCAGGATAACTCTTAGTACTGGACGTTGGCCATGTTACGAAGATTGTTGAAGCGATGATATGTATCCGTTACACTTCTGCGCAAATTTAATAGGTATAAGAATGCATGCGTCTGTGCTGCGAAATATGCATTGCGGCAGTGGCACTCAGCACAAACAGCGTAGCATATCCATGAGTCAAGGATTCAAAAAGTAAGTGGGACCCTCTGTTGGTCAAAGCGACCTTGGATTACTTAGTAGCACATGAGATAGAAATCTGATTTAGTTACAATATATTTGGTAGGTTATCTTCTTAGAGAACGTTCAAGGAAATCTAGGCCCCATATGTGTATTGATTGGAGGTAAACCAGGAAAGCAGCATCTACCCCTACTGCATAGAGCTATTCATTGCTATAGCACACATCGGCCTTACGGCTTTTGCGTAATAACTTTAAGACTTTAAGGAAAGAATTATATTAAGAAGATGAAATTTAAATAAAGATTCAAAATCAGAAAACTTCTATTATGTAGCTGACAGTAACTACAACAAAAGAAGATGTATTTTAAAAAATAATAAATTAATGAAATTCTCAGGCTTTCTAATAATACAGATAACGACTGTCACATTTTTGCTATCAAGCTCGATCGTTATAGAAAACATCTGAAAAAATATATTGAAGGCAGAAAACACAATAGCAATAAAAATTTCATTAAGCTCCGATGAAAATGCAAATAAAATTTTTCTAATACTCTAGCACCATGACCATGACCCAAGTCCACCGATTCACCCATTGGGTTTAGGTTTGACCATGACCCACGTCCACCGACTCACCCATTGGGTTTAGAGTCTACAAGGATGGACGGGAAACGGATTGGCCCATAGAGGATGGATCCCACGACCTTCGCGTTATCAGCACGACGCTCTGAACAACTGAGCTAATGGGCATGCCATCTGTTTATCAAAGAAACCTTAGAGTGCCTATTTAGCACCTGAAGCATACGTTTGACTTATTTACAATCCAGGGTGGGCCGGGAATAGACTCCTTCCTAGAGGGCTTTCAGTAAACTAACACATGTTTATGTTTCGCTTTGAGGAAAACTTCCTTCCAGCAGCCAGCCTAACCACAACGAACAAAAAAGCACATCGATCTATGCGTTTTGAAAAATGTAGGTAAACAAAAACTGAAATCAGAGCAAATGCTCTAGATGTCATAACCTTATTCTTTCTCAGTCATCTCCTGCTATGTCTTAACCCACTAGGCCACTGGTTGTCTTGTTAAACTTTTGTATTTTTCTTTGGAGTAACATACAATTCTATGGACTAGCATGCTAAGACATAGACTTCTTTGTTTGTTTTCCTGTTTGTTACTGTTTGTGTTTTCTATGTTTGTATGTGCACTTATGATATTCAAGATTTTATTACCTGTAACCCTCATGTAAAACTTACTTTCTGATTCATATATAAAGTACCGAGGGGGGCGTTGGCCCAGCGGAGGGTTTTGTTAGCCTTCCACTCCTTGCTCATCATCAGACTGGTAAGATAAACCTAGAGGTATAGGCATCAGGGGCATGGGTTGGCGTTAATTCTGAGATACAGTAATTCAGGACCTCATAAGTTAAGAGAATTGACTCCATAATGTTTCCCAAGCGTTACTTTTTGATTTCGATTTTCCTTTGAGCATCCTAATCTCCTCCAGAAAATACTCTGAATATCTCTTCCAGATACTCTGTATATTTTTATGTTGCATTTTGCCTAGTCGTGTTCTCAGAGGTGCAACGTGCAGCTAAACACATTGTGTTAATGACTTTCACGATTAGGAACGAGAGCTTGTCAGCCTCACAAATGCCCTGTCTCACAATTGACTCTAATCTGAGCTAGGCATCCAATTGAAATGGAAAACATACTTTCTTTCAAAATCAGAGTATCTGAAAAAAATTGGAATCTTATCCCTATACCAAGTAAGAGACCTTGATAAATTTTTACTTTTCAATATTTATAAACTAGATTGGCCCGAAGTCCACTACGTATATATAAATTGTTTGAATGAAGAGTTGTCAATATTTAAAGTTTGGTTAGCTTTGAGTACTCGGTACAGCCACAAAACTTGAAATTTTTCTAGCGAAAACTCGCCAAATTTATATCTGTATATATAAAACGCTAAGGCGGAAAAGGACGTGGCGGAAAAAGGTGGTTAATTTCTCTTTTGTCGATGGCAACGTCTGTTACCAAACAAAACCGGAAGCCTCCGCCATGTTAGGCATAACTTCATAGAAAGAGCCTGTTACTAAATTCGTTGTGATGTAAAATAATTTATCAAACCTTCCCCTCAATCTAAATTTCAGTAATCTTTAAAATTATGTTCTACATTTTAGTATTTAATTTAGAATTCATTATAATTTTTTTAACAATTTCTTCATAAATTCAGAAACAGATGGCGCTACTGGCTTAACAGAATGATCTGAACATATAACATTTTTTGCGTTACTACTGTATCTGTAATTAACGTTTCATTTCCCCGTGAAATACCTGCAAATAACGTTCTATTCTATCTCACAGTGCCTACAAATAACGTTTCATTCGAAAGCATCGTAACTGAAAATAAAATAGGCTAAGGTTCAGGGCCAAAAAATTTTATTCCTTCTTGATTAAGGTAAAAGCCTTAAAAGGAAATCAGCTTAAGATTTTTATTTATTCATAATATTGTTTTTTTATGTTAATAGTGCTAAGATGTCACACAGCAATCTCTTTATTAATAATATTACATCCAATTTGTTTTTAGAATTAATTTTTAGAATAATTATATTTGTTTTAATTTTGCAACTCTTATGTATTTATTTATTTATGCACTTGAATAATTTTCTTTGAAAGTTTTATTTCAAGAAAAATATCTCTTTTGAGGCTAAAAGATTTTATTCTCTGCTGATTTAAGTTAAAGCATCAGAAGCAAAATAAAGCTGATTCATATAAATATTTTAAAATAATTGTGCTAGGACATGCAGTGTCTTCACTGTAGCGGCCGAAGCGAGCAGGATTTGAGTAGAAAACCTGTGAGGATTGCAATACAATCCTCCTGGGGTTGGCGAGCTTCAGTGAGCAGGGGGCAGAGCCTCCTAGTTATATTTAATACTGTTAAGACTAAACAGGTGGCCGACAGGACAGTTCAGGCTCTCAAGACTAATTTAAAGTTAAAGCAATATTTTTCTACTTTTGAGAAAGATTCACCGATCTATAGAACAAGCGACGTAGTGCCATAAATTCCTGAAGTGTAGTTTTCTAATTGTTCAGTAATTTTTTACACTACTGACTAAGTGCCATTGTTGCCAACTGTGCTCACATGTCTATGTTTACAATGTCTGTACAATCGGAAAACTGATTTGAGACACACGCTCAGTCTCATTCTTGATTCGACTTTAAATGTCGTTGCTACTGACACTTTTCTCTGACAAAAATCAAATTATTGCGATATGGGCCTGTTTGGAGGAATTCATGGCACGAAGTTACATGTTTTGCATCTTTTAATTCACTGACCGGCATACCGACACCAACCACTTTTTACCAGATTCTGACACACGCAGCCATCTACCATAGTAATCTCAAATTTCTATCATGTAAAACATTGCAGATGGGGGCCATACTCACACGTTAATTTGATTGCGACTTGGAGTTTAAATAAGAAAAACTCGGCATTGCGTAAGAACCGAAAAAAAGAGAGAAGGAATTATACTCAAATACTGCCTATGATTATTATAGAGAATATTCTATCCAGCACTGGAATCTGGGATTCAATTGGAATAGAAATGGCTGCATTCCGGTGACGTTACGTACCTTTTGCGGGAGAGGTTCGGCCGTGGCCCGTGATGTCTCTTAAGCGGGCTATTCATCTCAAATCCAATATGGAAATTTCGGAACACAGGGAAGAAAAAACAATCGTCAAGGTCGAAAACCTATGAAAATTAGAATAGCGACTAGTAGAAGTCTGATTTCTAAACCAGCGGAAATCCGGCAGTTCGTGCGCCAATTTGTTTGAAAGACCCTTCGCGAGGGTAGTCGGTACATCAAAGGCTTGACTGTATCGGGACCCTGCTTAGTGGCTAGCGATTAGCATATCTGAAATCCTCGGAGTGGGGGAGGAAGAGAAGATCGAAGAGCAGCTGTAGAGAAGGGGAAATCGAAGAGCAGCTGTAGAGAAGGGGAGATCGAAGAGCAACTGTAGAGGAGGAGAGATGGAAGAGCGGCTGTAGAGAAGGAGAGAGAAGATCGCTCCCCCTTACCACAAGCGCACTTTGAAACATCAAATTCGGCTGTGGGTGGGGGAGCGAAGAGCGGCTGAATAGCACTTTGGAGCTACAGATGAATGACGCGCGTGATTTTTAGACTTGAATGAGTGGGGAAGAAACCACCAGTGTTCGGACAATTGGAATGGGATGAACAATAGATGAATGGCCTGCTTAAACCCCCAGTTTTTGTATTAATGTCAGGCGAATATCATTCAGTCCACCCCGGATGCCAATGCAGGGCTCTATTGTGGTTGTGGCTAGATGGTAAATGAAAATGCTGAAATATAGTATCTACTCAATTCGCGTAGAATAGATTTCGGGTAATTAACAAGTTAGCCGCCACGAATCACGCCTGAGATTCTAACCATCTATCTAAAAAGATGACTCCTTCTCTGCTGTCTCTTAACTACAGTAGAGGAGGAGTCATCTGATTACATAGTAGGTTTGAATCATATTTTATCCCCGTATGAGTCGTATTTGAATCATATGGCTATCAACGCGTCAATAATATATATTTCAGTTTACTTTGAGAATTAATTAATTATTTTGAATAGCAGTTTTAATAAATAATTAAGTTTCAAATGTTTACTCTTACCTTTTCTTTAACCGTCTGACACCGAGCGAGGCGGTCCTGGACGGTCTAAAAATTTCCCTTTAACAGCGAAGAAGGCCGGTCTGAGGCGGTTGGCTTCTTTTGAGGGGAGGTGAGGTTCTGAGATCGCTTAGGAGATAAGCGCGGTGGGGGTCCAATTATCCATGCCAACCACAGCCAATTTCTGTACGCCTTAAGGGTAGGTTATAGCAGGGGTGAGGTGGGATGGTAAATGACCACTCAGGTTGGGAGAGTCCAATTCATGTCGGTTCCTCTAAAAAGCTCCCGGTTTTAAAGGAGCTAGAAGAAAACATCGCCTCGGGTTAAAAGAGTTACAGAAATTCGAATAATACGAATGATATTCAAGAGTTCAAATATGGCAAAGAAAATAAATTTCAGGTGGAACCACTTAAGAATGAACAAAATATAAATATTTCAAATATTCTTTACTCATATGGAAAGGAAGTAAATTTTTCACATCTGGCCCTAGGTACTTTCATTTTCATACTGGCATATCATCCATAAGCGGTGTAATAGGCTTCAAGATGCTGAAAAAAGAGGCAGAATTTCATAAATATTTGATGCAAAACTCAATGGCGGAAAGAGCCGCTTCATATTTTCATCTTATAACTTTATAGCACAAAATGCTGCATCATTTCAACTAAGAGACTTTTGAAATGAAAATTTAATGCTTTTGAATACTTAAAAAGCAATGTGTAAACATCTGAAATATCTAGAGTTTGTTTCGGTAGCAAAAAAATGCAAACAAGTATGTTCTCGCATTTTAGAATATTCAGTAACTTTTTAAAGTTTTCTTCACTAAGTTAAACTATTTCTATTTCATAGCTATATTTAATGCTGGATTTCGTTTAGGAAGATATATTTATTACTAGTTTTTCCCGTCTTCTTTTTGTTATTTTTTATTTTAAAACGCCAGGGAAGATAACGGAACCCAAGTAATGGCCCAGAGCAACTATTTATATTATGCAATCTTACATTTCCAAACTTATTTTTATGAAGGCACATATTTCATCCATTTTAAGAATACATAGTGTGATCGGGCACGCGAGGTTTTT